ATAAGCCCTGAAGCCAGGGCAAATGAATGGATCAGACATACTAACAAGTTCAAGAAAATCTTGTCAAGACCACGCTCAAGGTCGTTGATCGCGTGGAAGATTTTGATGCGACACAGATTACCAAGATTGCAGCTGTCTGAGTTGTTTGAGAGGTAGCAGTGGTAGCATAACACTTGGTTTTTCAGCCTCAGGATGCCTGTCTGACAGGTGGTCTCGATGAACGAGCTGGACTTTCCAAAAGCGAGGCACAGCTTTATGATGAGAAAAGTCATAGAATTCTGCCTGCTGACAAACATCTGTTTGATGCCAGGCTAATGAACATTTTGTGGAAGCAGGTTGCAAGGCAGCCAAGCTGTAGACCTAGAGCGGGTGCATTTATATAGCTTTTCGGTCTCTCAGATTGATCTGATTTCGGTTGCTGTGCTCAGAATCCTTCTGTTTGCTATCATGATGGCAGCATTGTAAGACAACAAGGCTCCAGTGCTGAGATTCCAGTGCTGAGATGACCAAATGATGATCATGACAGGACGATCCACAACTTCTCCACTCACCAGATCGTAGTACTGGCGCCCAACGTTTTGTTGCTTGATGCTTGATCACTTCTTGAATTGACGATTCGTCCTGTCTGGTAAGTATCCTTGCACCTCCTGATACAACATGCCAGCACAGGTACGCTCTGCAGCCAGGAGAAGGGTGCGGCATGAAAAATTTGCCAAGGCTTCGAGTAAAGTGTGACCTGCTTTGAGAGTCGAAGCTTTCACGGTGGGGAAAGACTCCAGACTGAACGTATTTTCCGCAGAGACCTTTTTAGGATGACTTTGCTGGCTTTTCCTCATATATATATATATACATATACACATATATCCGTGCTGTGTGCAGTTCCGGATGGATTCAGAGCATGTAAAGTAGGCCCGAAAAAGAGCAAGAAGACAGAACCCTTAAAGTAAACAAGGACCCGGATGAAAGCAAAACCGTTGCGTGCTGCCTGCCTCTTTGTTTGTTTGTTTGTTTGTTTGACTCAGGTTGTCCGAGTTTGTTTGCACTCATGGCACTTCTGCTCTTTATGCTAGGTTGTTTGTCGAGTGAAGGTTGAGCTGATGCGCACTTGTTCCTATCAAGGCTACGGTCGTTCACTGCAGACAGGTTTCTCGTGATGCTTCCAAGAGTGCTGACCTGCGTATACAAGTTCTGGGACTGTTTAGCATAAACACTGCGGGTTGGGCACACTTGCTGTGTATGCATATGATATATATATATATATGTACACACGTACATGCAAAGTTCAGTTCCGCAACATCCAAACAAAAAAAGTTTCAGAAAAAGCAAAAACACTGACTGATACAGCTCGTTGAACAATATGCCAACGCAGATGCCCAAGAGACCGGGTTTAAGTCCAAACTCTGTGATGCGAGCATGGACTACTTTGTTTGCAAATAACCTTGCTGAAACATACCAGTGTGATTGGGATAGCGCAATCCCGAGCAAAGAACACGTGTGTGGTGATTGAGTGTGGGCAAGCGAAGGTACTGTGGGGTGATTCGCTGATGTTTCCCAGCATGGTTTGTGTAAATCGCCTCGCATGTGTGATTTGTATTCCAGTGATTCAGGCCATCAGCGAAGAAGTTCTGGCCCGTTTGAGCGAGCTGAACAGGGATGCTTGGACCATTAAGCCCACCTTTGTTTGAGAGCGGGTGGTCATGGGGCCAGGGTTTTGGTTTTCCAAAAATTTTAGGTAAATGCTTCAGTGGCAGCCCCTCTCCATATAAACACATATATAATCTATTCCTGCTCTCTCTATATGAACAAATATATTATGTATTCCTGAATCAGCATAAAAGTGTCTATTTTAACAATTGTCCTCTAGATCTCTGCTTATGTTTAGATTTGGAAAGATTTTATGTAGATGCTTTTATGTTATAAACGCTTCTCTATAGATCTCTGCAGATAATCATTTTTAGATTTAAACAACTATATAGAAACCTTGTATGTTAAAAGCATTATTCTAGATTTCTGCCGGTAAGAGCTTGCATTTTCAAAGTTTTTCTCTGGATCTCTGGGTAAGTAGATATCCCATATATGTGTGCTTTCATGAAAGGAAAGCTCTTGAAAGAAGAACTTATTTATTGATATATAGCATGTTTAAATTGACATGACCATTTCCAGAGATCCAGAGGAAAGCTTTTGAAATGAAAGCTTTTATATATTTTTATTGTAGAAATGATCATCCCCAGAGATCTAGAGGGAAGCTCTTGAATTAGAAGCTTGTACATAAAACATTTTTAATATGTCTATATTTTTCCAGTGATTACTGTAAATAAATAAATCTAACTGTTTACTCCAAACAATAGTTTTAGTCTTGTTCCCAGCACTCCCAGGGCAAGAAAATACTGTAAAACACGGGGTTTTGTAGCATGTGTTTTCTTAAACTAAATAAACTAGAGCTAGAATAGAATTAGGTAGAATAAAATTGGATTTGAGTTAGAGCCAAGATAGAACTGAATTAAAACCGAATTTCAACTAAACTTGTATTGAACTATAACTATAACCTATTTAAAATTAGATGAGAGTTGAATTAGAAAGGAATTGGAATTACAATTAGAAGTTCGCCAGAATAAGATGTAAAACGCTTGAGCTACAAGATGCACAAGTCGAGGAGGCTTCGAAATTACAAAGCCGAAGCAAAAGCAACAAGCATTGAATTAGAACTACAGATTACACAGATTCATAACAATTTCATGTAAATTGGAAGGTGTCATTACAGTTTCATGTCAAGCTGATTGGACATGCAATTGGCAACCACATTGATACCAATCAGAAGTTAATGCACAGACTTGTACATGGAGATTTCGACAAGGACAAAGGGAGTGTTGGGCTCAGACGCTTTCATTGTAAGAGCAAAGAACATATGCCTTTAGGTGAGGCTTAGGCTCACATGCTTGAAGGTTGAACGAAATAGTAAGAACACAGATTGACCTAAATAGGAAAACCAAAAAACACTAAAAGCTTCGAGAAAACCAATAACAACCTAGGAAAAACCAAAACACCAAAAAAACATTGGGAAAACCAAAAAACCAAACAACAGTTTAAAAAAACAATTCTGGGGAAGTCTTGAGGAAAGGGGGGTGTCCAGCCAAGAGTCTCTGAGAATTGTTTTTTTGGTTTTTCCAAGGTGTTTTTTTTGTTTTTCTTAAGAGGGGGGTCCAGCCAAGAGTCTCTGAGAACTGTTTTTTTGTTTTTTTGGTTTTCCCAAGTTTATTTTTCTTAAGTGTTTTTGATCCTTTATGCACATTCATCAGTGTTTTTGTTGGTTTTGACTGTGCCACTGAAGCACTTGCCTAATATTTATAGAACACCAAAACCCAGGCCCCATGGCCACCCCTTCTGCTTGGACCATTAAGCCCACCTTTGTTTCGTCAGTTTTTGAGTTTTCTGACTCTTCGGAAGTCAACGCGTTTTCGTTTTGCACGATACATTTCATTGCGTAGGACAACGCATCCAAATCCGGTTAAACTCTTGAACTTTGACTCAGGACGCTCGTTTGCCCCAGATCATGGACAACTTGAAAATATTGCAGAAGTTGGTGCCAAAGGCACTCCCCCGTACAAAGCTCAGGCATCGACTTTGAGTTTATGAGCCTGGGTGCTCTGTCCATCCACACCTACACCATGAACTCAGAAGTGGTGAACTGAGTGGCTGCCGCCCGAGGTGAAAAGAAAGAGCTGGCCCACAGTGATGCCACACGACAGACTTGAGGAACCTCTATGTAGCTTTGGGCACGGTTTGTGGCTGTGCGCCTCGTGCCATTAAAACAACAAATTGAGCGTGAGACAACGTCCAACAAGCCGTTGCCACCTCCCTGGCCTGTGGTTGTGGCACGACTGATCAAAGTGAAGCGCATCGGAGAAAAGATGCAGCAACTCTGACTGGGAGCGAGCTACGGCAGCTGTTGGAGCGTCTTATACAACACTTCCTTTGGTGCAAGTTTGTCATTGACCAGTTCTAGCTTTCTTGGATGAGTGTAGTGATGCATCGGAGGCAGGCAATCGAAGAAGCATGCCTCATATATTCAATACATTCCAATTCTAATTGTACAGCGACACTGGCCTTCAATGTTTCTATGTATTTTTGATTTGCTTGTGCAAGCGGTGCAACACCTGAAAGGCTGACGAGGGCAACGACGAGGATGACGGCGAGGCTTTCTGGAGATGGAGATGGAAGAATTACAGTAGCAACTTGTGTCCGTCAGACAGGGGAACGGGACCTGGCAGAAAGTAGTGTTTCTTGCATGTGATTCTGTTGAGTTGTTTTGGTTTCTTTAAATCAAACACATACTGTACATTAGGAAGTCCAGCAGGGGTGAACCGCACCGTCGTTGCAGGTGAACTGCGTTTGCTACCTTTTTTTTGGGGGGAGACTTGTCATTGACCTGCTGGCTGAGTTCAGTCTGGTTGGCTGTATCCTGTTTGAATACTGAATTCTGTTCCCAAGCTGTGCTGGAAGTTCACTTCGCGGTCATGCCATTGATGTATCAGCACACCAAGCGGGTGTTCAAAAGAAAGGTAACGCCAACACAATGACTTTGACGCAAGCTTTGACGCAGTCTCATACTTGAACGTTTGCTTGGTTGATGACGCATCGCAGTTTCTGCATGCCCTCAGGAGGAAGAAGGTGAAGGTGCAGGTACAGCTACAAAGAAGAAAAAGAAAAAGAAGAAGGTGCAGCGTCGCTGCTATTCTGTCCTTCTGTTGTTTAGAGGCATTGATGATAACAAACTCCTTTCGAGGATCGTATCAATTTTAGTTGTATCATGGCTCTGCTACAGCCGCAAGTTCAAGCCAAAGGGTCCACCCAAAGCAGCCAGCATCTCAGCAGCCGAGCAAGGCAATCACGGCAATTACCGAGGCCTTTGCGGCGCCTTTGCGGCGCCTTTGCGGCGGCGCCTTTGCGATATATATATATATATATGTATAGCTTATAGATACATATAAATACATACATACAGTACACGCATATATATATATATATATTATAATAGCCTGACACCCCACACTGACATCATTCCACTGTTTCAAGATCTGCCATGGCACTCTTTGCCTACTTGGAGCAAGCAGATGCTGATGAGGTGGAGAAATGTCATTCAACCGATGCAACAAAGACGTGATGTAATCCGACCCCAAGGGACACACAAAATTCAGCTATGCAAGTCTACAGACAAGCATTTTAAAGAGTACATATGTGCATGTTTAACCAAATCACTAGGCTATTTCTTGATTGCGGCCTGCTCCAGTTTTCCTGTGCCAGTGACTTCGCCAATTTGAAGCGTAATCCTTCCTGGAGCAACCTGGAAAAGACCATAAGATCCACAAGAAACTCTGATCTGATGTTCGAATTGTTTTTGTTTTCTATATCTGACAAACTTAATGCTTTAGCTCTTGAGTGGGGCTGTCAACTCCTCCCAGTGTTTTCGATTGGAGGACGATGTATCTTACTCCGTCCACTTGCAATCCATCATCCCAGCGTTAGGAAGATCTTCAGACAAACTTGGATTTCTCGGAGGAAGAAGTTTTTCTCAAAGGCCGTTTAGGTTGAGCAGGCTGCTAGGACATTGGTGTTTGTGCCACCAAGCATCACTAGACTACTCGGCCATGTGACTATCTTACGATCGAGATGCTCAGGGTGTGGAGATCGACGAATCGAAATGCTCGGCAAGCTGCAACGCAGATGATGCCTGGCTTGGTGTCCGGGGACGACCCGGTGTTTTGAAAGGCTGGATTCTGACTTTGGCACAAGACGACGATGTGTTCAACTGAGTTCAAGGAGGGGCAGTGCTTTATTGTCCCGTGGACTTGGAACATCGCCAAATTCCATGGGCAGGTGCGTATCAGTACGAGGTAGAGCTCAAAAATGAGTGCCTACTGAGAGTCGGATGGGCTGCTCTTGAAGGGCGTCGCGCTTTGGGCACCGACGAGCGCTCATTTGGATATGGCGGAACGGGCATGAAGTCCAACTGTGGCCGATTTGAGCAACTTGATCATGAATTGTGGTGGGTAACAACATAATATATATATATATACAGATTGTGCCACAGGTACTAAAGTAAATGTCTGATCAGAGGGACGAACAACGTGGCCATTTTGGGTCAAGTCCCTGCGCCCGAACAGTCCTCCCTGTTTTAAATCAACGGGGGGAGATGGCTGTTCCTCCTTGGGCGCAGGATAGACCCCCCACTGGACGACCGGCAACTTTGTTCGACCCCCCTCGAGGCCGTGGTCGCAGCGGTAGCCGAGGGAGGGGGCCAGGCTCGAAAAGGATCGATGCAGTTTCTCCCAGAAGGGACAGGACCAAGCTGGGCAAGACAAGCGGCCTCTTCGCAGCTGGTGCCTGGTCCGCTCGAGAAGAGATCGCACGTCTGATCGAGAGCGGTGTCCCTTCAAGCGAAATCCTGGAAGCGATCCGGAGTGGTTCAGAAGGAGATCAACCCTTGGAGCTCCAAGGAGAGGTGGAAGGTCTGGAGAGACCTGCAGCAAAGTCCCAGTCAGTCAGAAGAGAGACCACCGGAGAGTTCCCGGATGGCTCCTCCTAAGTGGACACTGGAGAAGAAGGTGGAGAAGCCGGTAAAGGCACCCACCGTCTCAGACAGTTCATCCTCGGCCGCATCTACGCCGCATTTACGCCACATTTGTCATCCGACCGCTCGTCCCGGGATACTCCTACCTGGGCGTTGGGATCGGCACACTCGCCCCTCGGATTTTCCAAGAAGGCAGGTCCCCTCATCCCTCCCTCTCCGAAACCGCGGGTGAAGGAGGAGTTTGATGAGGAGCCAGGGACATCAGCGGTTGAGCCGGAGTTGGATCCCGGCAGGATCACCAGACGGCTGGATGAAGTTGGGATCTTTGGGCAGTTCTCCAAAAGAGCAGATCGACCGCAAGAGTCCGAGGCCACAACCTCTCGTGTGGCGCCGTATGTGCCTTTGGGCCTTCCTCGCAGGAGTCGTCCACTGGAAGAGGCTAAGCTTGAGGAGTTCCGAAAGATTGCAACTAACCTGTTCGAGGAGCTTGTACTCCACGAGGTGGAAATGGACCTGCTTGGTATGCTCGGCTCCTGGGAAGGTATCTCCAAGCCTACGAGACCAAATACGGAGCTCCTTCAGACGCAGGACCCAAGATCATGGGACTTGAGGCCATTCAGGCCTTCGTCATTGGCCTGATCGAGGAAGATGTGGTTCTATACCCCGCGGAGCTTCCTGTACGCTGTACGCAGTGGAATACTTCGGAGGCCTCTTTGGGTACCATTCGCCGGGCTGCGCTCATCCCCGTGTCCGTAGGCTCTGTACGGACTATGTGGGCAAAGCCCCAGAACGCAGACCAGCACCCTTCTTCGAGATCCGCTTCTTGGATTGGTTGGAGAAAGTGGTGCTGGATGAGAACCGGGATCTCCAGACCCGCATCGCTTGTGGTGTGCTCCCAATCCAGCATTCGCCACTCGGACCTAGCAGGAACAGCAATGCGTGACGTTGAGTGGTGCCGGGTGGTTGGCAGTTCCGGGGTGCTGGGGCTTCGTGCAAAGGCGGCATGTACCAAGTCCGGCCCCAGGACTTGGGCAGCAAGCCTCTTGGGAGTACATCCGGACAATGACAAGTGGTTGATCAGGTGGGTGGAGCTCCTCCTGGTGATGCATGGTCACGACTGGCGCACTCACTCATTCGTTGGCAGGGCAGCGGGGAAGTCGGAGGGATGGGAGATGTACTCCCCTCGAATCTCCGAGGAAAATTTGACGGTGAAGCACCCTCTTGGCCGATATAGACGCCGGAAACCAGAGCATCATGCCTAGGGAGCAGGCATTGCACCTGAGGTGGCATAGCTGCAAAACTACGATCCAGCAGAACTCATGCCAGATTTGTACCTCCGCGAATCTCAGATATTGGTTCTGAAGGCGCAGATTGAGGTGCTAGACCAAATTCGCCGCGGGGCGGTGATTCAAACCCTGGAGGGCCGGGAGCTTGACAGTATGCGACAGCCCGACTGGGCCACGGTCGAAACCCTCACCGAGGAGGATAGGTTGCCAAAGTCCAGCGGGGCGGAACGGGGGAGAGGGAGCTTTCAGCAAAGTGCTACAAGGACCACCCGGTTGAGCATGTTGAGATTACACCCAACGCGGTCGAGCAAGGGCCGGATTCGGACGACAGTGAAGCCGACCCTGCGGCAACCGGGACGGGAAGGATTCACAAAGGGGAGTGGACTATAAACTCTGCAACAAGTGTTTTGGAAGAAACGTCGAGTCGTCCACGCGCCCCTTGCTGTGCGACTTTGTGTTGAAGAAGAACGACCGGGGCGTCTTGCGCTGTGGGCGGCGGTGCAGAGGCGACCAAGTACCAGGACATCTGAATCTGAGTGAGCCGGGCTTCGATCCAGCAAGTAGGCGCAGATGCACCCTGCACAGTGAAGAGGTGCTAGAAGACGACATTTGACCTATACGACGCGTCTCAAAAATTCGGGCAAGATTGTCTAAACCATGTAGCCATGCAACCCAGTTCGCAGGATTTCATGCAATGCTGGAAGTGTCCATTGGGGATCCATGTCCTTTCGTTTGGACGTGACGAGTGCACCTCTATTGTAGACGCATGTGCCGATGCCCCAATGAGTGGATCAAACACCCGACCCCCCCCGGACTTGGGAGTTCCCGCTGAGATGGCGGATGCAAGGTCGGCTCTGGCCTTCGGACGAGCTGCTGTCAGCTTCAAGGTCCATGGCCTATTGCCTCCCAGCCAACGTGGATCTTGAGGACTACCTCAGGAAGGTGCTGCGGAAGAGGGGGGGCATATCGTGATGAGAATGGCGAAATCGTGGTCTATGACAAGCCGACGATCCTCTCATGGGACGACTGCAAATGTGAGCCGGATACAGGCTGCCTCCGCAAACTTTGGGGGCTCTCCACCCAGGTGGCAAAGCGCCACCTGGAGAGGTTGGCAGGAGAAGTGGGTGAAGGCAAGACGAAAATCACCCTGGCCCATGCTCAAGAGCTCGAAGACAAGGCTGTGGAGACTGGCATGCCGGAGGCCACATCGGACAGGGAGCGACCCTCACTCCACACGCTCTCCAAGGTGCAGGCGACCTTCTTGCCGAATTGAACCTTTCAGCACCTGGCCTGGGAATCGTACGTTTCAATGGAAGTTGAATCAAGGTTGAGGCGTGCAGGCAAATTGCCGAAAGACAAACGGAAGCTGGTGGTCGAGGGAAAGAGCCTGAAGATGACGGACACGGACATCGAGTTCCCGGAGACGGTCGTGTATGGTGGACAACCTGGCGGCCTTGCAGGACCTCTTCGAACTGAGAGCAAGGGCGTTTCACATCTTAGACGTCTGCAAGTACGTGATGAAAGCATAAATGGGGAGAGAAGCGTAGCCAGCCTGCGAGGGGTTACCGCGCAGGGCATGCGAAACCCCGCGTCGCGTAGACAGGGAGATTTTTGGTGAGATCCTGAAGTATCCTGAAGCGGGTGGCAAAAGGAAAAGGATCGGTAGAGGCCGGTCTCAGCCATTACACCCGGGAGTTCAAGACAGAGCCGCTCTGGAAGCTCCTCAGCCAGCAGCCGGAAGGCCACCCCGATCAAGGGAAGGAGAGGCCATCGACTAGCAAGGGTGCTGGGGAAGAGAAGAAGGGCACGAAGCGGTCACGGACCCCGGACAGAACCACCAGGGACAGACCCGGCGAGCCCCCGAAACTCCGGATGTGCATCTTCTGCCGCAAGCGCCACGAGCCCCCTCCAGGTTTTCGGAAGGAGCAGAAGCAGTGGACTCGCGAGAAGCGCAAGCAGGAAGAAGAGCGCAAGAAGGACAAAGAAGGAAGGGAGGCCAAGAAGTAGGGACAGCTCCTCTCGGGAGCGCGCGCGACCCGTGCTCCGGGAGGTATAGAATTTTTGAAACCAGTGAATCTTCAGAGAGAAGAGACAAAGGTCGCAGAACCCTGGGATCTGTTGAGGGGAAGAAAGATGCTGCACCGGCCCCTTACGGAAGCGGCAGTATTCTCAACGCCGGTATCAGGGTCTGACCCCCGACCTCAAATGGTCTCTACATATGATGCTCGCCTTCCTCGACCATTGCCCCTCACGGGAACTTTTCCTGGTTGACCGCCCTCCCTTGGTTCTATACGCAGACGCCTCCGATGTGCCCGATCGTCAGCCACAAAGACTGGTCGGAGCGGTTCTTTTCATCCCAGAAACACACCAATTGTTCTACTCGGCGCAGGAGGTTCCCCAAACTATGGTGCAGTCGTGGCGACCGAGAAAATCCTATATGGGGCAGCTCGAACTTATCGCACCTCTTTGGGCATTAGACCTTTGGGCCCCACACATCTGCGAGCGCTCAATACTTATGGTCGTCGATAACGACAGTGCAGCCACCAAATTTGGTGAAGGGTTTTTCCTCTCAACCCGACAGTTCTCTCCTCGTCGGTTCCTTTTGGCTAACCGCTGCACATCATAAGCTCCACATTTACATCGACCGTGTAGAGTCTAAGAGTAATTTGGCAGATGGTCCATCTCGTAATTCATTTGTGCAAGTCATCGAGTTGGGAGGTACTTGGACACCGCCCAAGACTGGCACCTTGGGCGGCGCCCGCCACACTCTCACCATTCCAGCTGGCGCACTGGAACACTGGGGGGAAGAACTAGAGAGAGGTGACATCCGATAACCGCCCAACCAGCGGGGGGAGGTAGAGTTGGGTGTTTCTCTCTGGGTGAGAGATGTTTAGCGCCAGGTTCCTCTGGGTTGCATGGGTCCTACCAGAGGAATTTCGATTGCTAGACAGGGTTGCGCCAGTTCCCTATCCCACAGGTGACTCGACTTTGGAGAGAAAAGACTGTTTGGAGAGCGGCTAAGATGTTTACAGATTGTGCCACAGGTGCTAAAGTAAATGTCCGGTCAGAGGGACGAACAACGTGGCCATTTTGGGTCAAGTCCCTGCGCCCGAACAGTCCTCCCTGTTTTAAATCCCGCCGCCCACCCGGGGAGGTAGAGTTGGGTGTTTCTCTCTGGGTGAGATGTTTAGCGCCAGGTTGCTCTGGGATTGCATGGGTCCTACCAGAGGAATTTCGATTGCTAGACAGGGTTGCGCCAGTTCCCTATCCCACAGGTGACTCGACTTTGGAGAGAAAAAGAGCTGTTCGGAGAGCGGCTAAGATATTTATAATATAACGTAAAATATATATACATATAACATAACGTAACATAACATAACATAACATAACATAATATAGTATAATATAATATAATATAAAATAATATAATATAATATAATATAATATTATATATTGTAGTATAGCATAACATAATATAACATAATATAATATAATATATATACAATATTATGTATATATGTAAGCCACACACACATATAAATAGAACTGATTGACAATGGAACGCTGTTGGCACTTTATTGGATGACTTGGACGGGCTTGCACTGTACAGGATGCTGAGGCAGTTGCCCAGCATTCGACAACTGGGTCCTGGGGTCTGAGGAAGTATGGCGAAGTCTTTGAAGCGCAGACGGGTGCAGTGGTGACGTGTTTGTTAGATCGCCGAGAGCCCCGCCGCTCCAGCATAAGTCCCTGGGCGGAGTAATGCGATAGAATCCCTGAAATTGAATTGTGAACGCAACCTTCGCACACATTTGGTACATGGCATATTGTTGAGCATGTTGAGATAGTTGAGATTCAAAGTTGTGTTGTGTACACCAGGTTTAAAGCACCACTACAAGCATGCTTCTGCACTACACCCTTTATATATCTCTTTTACAATTACAGAACCTTCGGATCTGTTGCGTTTTGTTCAGAAACATTGCTTCCGAGGCTATTGCTTGAATGGCCGCTCTTTGGGTGTAGCCTTTAGATTGCCGCCATGGTTGGCTGATGTCCCGCTTTTCCCAGCGATTTGCGGTCGCGAGGACTGGAAGGCCTCGGGCTCCGTCAGGGAGTGGAGTCCAAGTGGATGTGACGGTATCACTCGTCCATTAGGTTGGAGGCCATCACTAGTTAAGTTTCCCCGAAAATTCAGGAACCAAATCATTAGCGCTAGCTATCCTGCGTCCTGTCGGTGGTAGCTACTTGTTAGCTACTAGCTAGCTCCTACCTCCTTCTACCCCCCCGCCCCGGGCCAAAATAAAGACTGTGACTAGACGGCGGATGGCCCGGGAGCGTGGAAGTAGAAGTAAGAGATGTGTACAAATACATCTCACGTTTCTAGAATTGTTGCCATGGATGATTATGGATGTAGTAAGAGGAGACTCGTGGACACCGCCAATCATCCCGCTCCCCAGCGATACGCTGAATCTACACCAGCACTTTTTCCTTTCCCCAATGGCACGGACTCACGCAAGCGCACTTTCCACTGTGGCCGCGCAAAACCACATGGCGCAATGTGGCCACACAGTGCGCAACAGGCTAGATACAAGAATTGTAACATTAATCACGGCGCCGCCCAGTCGCCAGTTGTCAAGCCACGTTGCTTCCCGTGCAAAGCTTGCACTTCCAAGTGACTAGTTCTCACGTCTCCTAGAAGTGGCCAGCGCCATTTCCGAGACAGTTGCGCACTGTGGCAATTGCCACCATCAACTTCGACAACAGTTACACTTCTGCAGCCAAACTCGCACTTCGTCACTTCGCCTCACGTTTAAGCACTCGACCCGTGCGATCTCCACAGAGGGTTCACTGCGGTAACGCAAACTTTGCATTTCGCCACACGTTTAAGCGCTCGACGCGCGCTATCTCTGCAGAGGGTTCATCCAGCGCGGCAGCTGGAGTTCGCATTTTTCCACGCGCCACACGTTTGAGCGCTCGACACGATCTCCGCGGAGGGTTCGTCCAGCGCAGCCGGAATTCGTATTTCACTGCATCATTGAGCACTCGCCGCGCACGATCTCTGCGGAGGGTTGCCTCCGCCCAAGCCAGAATTCGGATTTCGCCACGCGTTGAGCACTCAACGTGCACGATCTCCGCAGAGTTGCCTCCAGCCAAACCAGAACGCGCATTTCTCCACACGCTTGAGCACTCGACGCGCACGATGTCCGTACAGGGTCACGTTTTGCCAGCCCTGTCCGGCTAGGCCTTCGCCTAAGAAAGAAGATAAATAGCTGAGATATATCACGCACGCGCCAACAAACATAATGACGTATGCTTTACTCTATGTTGACACATGTTTACTGTTGCATATGTGCTTACTGAAGCAAGACCCTCAGCGAAAGTCACATTTGATTTTGCCTATATTACTTAAGCAAGACCCCAGCAAAAGTTATACTTGACCTTGCGTATGACAGGCAAGATCTCAGCAAAAGTTACCCAAGCAAGATCCCAACACCAAGGCAATCCACCCAAGCAAGATCCCAACACCAAAGCAACTCACCAAAGCAAGATCCCAGCGCGAAAGCAATGCTAGCGTAGCAGCAACTCTACACACCTACAAACTGCAGTTGTACTTTGAGCACCTATGGTAACATACATACAATTGCAGACTGCAGCTGTATAAATTGCAAATGTGTTTGCAAATGTATGACCACCTCCGTAGCAGGTCTAGAAGACCACGCGTGCAACTTGCATGTGTACTTGTAGCATACATACCAATGGTAAAAAACCGCGCATGCAAACTGCAGATGTAGCTTATAACATGCGTACCAATGCAGCTATACAGAATTGGAAAAAACAGCCAAAAAGATAGTTTCCAAATGTATTGACGCAGATGTGTTATGCAAAAACTTTTTACAGAAGAACCCTTCGCAACGCCCCAGGGAAAAACAATTCAATAATCAGTTCAAAACCAAACACCTGAAACCAAACTCAGGCCATTTGTCGCTTTCAAGATCTGCGCTTCCCGCATGGTGGCTTTTCGTGCCTGGAAGAAGCAAACCGTGGCCATGTGGCAGATGATGGGGGTGCTGCCAGCGCTGCGGCAGCTGTGTTTGCAGCAGCCCCGTTTGTGGAGGTGTCAGATGTGCTAGGTTTAGCTTTAGCTCTATACAGTCTCGCTGTAGGATTTACACATTTGATCAGGTTTGTGTGTTTTCTAGGCATCGCATGTAATCAGCTCTATGGTTCGTTGTCAGAAGGAATGAACTGAGTAGGAGCGAGAACTCAAGCAGCTGGACGTGCCAGATGAGAATTTAGTGGAGCTGCGTTCGGCAGGGGCCTGAGTCAGACTGACATCATCAACTCCCTTTCAGGGAAGACTGGTTTCCTGACTACTAGCGCACAGTGGCAAAAAGTGTAAAGAAGTTTACCTGACAGTTGCCTCGCAATCATATTTGACGAATTGTACAAGCAACTTGTAGTTAATTGTTCGGCACGCATGCCATGCTGAAACTGTGATGAGGATGATGGCATTGACGAGAGGGAGTTGAAATCGTGGCTCATTCACGAAGCCTGTTTCATTCCAGCGAAAGAGTCAAGACTAGATGACACCAGCTTCCACAGTACGGAAACTGTTGTGATCTACTGTAATTTTGACACATGTTTGAAATGGATGATTTCAAGCCTGTGGTATGGTAGCGTGGAATCCATACTACCATACCACACCATACCATATCACAGGCTTCAAATCACCCGTTTCAAGCATAATTTATGTTTTCTATCTCGGGAATATATAATCATTTTCTATATTTTCTATCTTCGATTGGCCTCATCTCAGGAGTACGGAATTAGTAGTGCTGACTTCCATGCTGAGTTTGCCGAGAAGATGTGCATCGCAGTCTTGGCTTTCACAAGCCATCGAGTCGCGCGCAGTATGTTACACGCACCACCACCAGGTCTTCAAGTTAGCTTGAGGCAGGGTGTCGTTTTCTCCAAACTATATACTTGAGACGGTCAGGCCATTTCTTTTCTGACTGCTCGGTGAGCCTCACTATCTCCCAAACAGGAAATAGTATGGGTAGGTTCACATTGATATTTTTGTCCTCAGCCTTGCACGTGGCCCAACATGGGTAAACGGGGGGGTTTGCCCGGACAGCAGCATGCACAGGGCTAGAAAAGCATGCGTTTTACAGGGTTTTTGGTCCGGGCCACTCAACTTATCGTCTTAGAGTTCATGAACTCCAAGACGATGACTTGAGTGGATTTTCAAGACACTCAAATAAGACCAGGTCTGCTGTCCAGTCTCTCCCGCTTTTCGCCTTTTGGGAGCAAACATCAATGTGGGCATCCCAAAAAAGGGGTCAGCCGCGGAAAATCCCGCAGATGCTGATTGGGGGAAGGGCACTTCAATCCGGACAAACGCAACGAGAGAACTAACGACTGACAAGCGCAAACAAAAAACCCTCAAACGTGGAGCCCGCCATGTCCTCTAAGCCGAAAGTGTAACGCGAGTGTCAAGTCGCGAAGCCGAAAGCGTAACGCAAATGTCGATTTACGCGAGTAGAACCACGAACAAAACGTTACGAAGCCGAAAGTGCAACGCGAATGTCGATTTCACGAACGAAACTGTCCCCAGCCCCCCCGAAAAACATGTTGGGTCATCGGGAAGGTGTGCTTTCGGGGCAAACCCCTCCCGTTGTCCCAATATGTTGCAGTAATCGACTCATGTATTGACAAAGCCTGGTCTTTTTTTGCACATTGTGGTATTCTATATATACTTTCTATTTCCTATGGGCAGTTTCTTGACGAAGCTTCATGAGAGGAAGCTTCACTTGTCAGAGTCAAGAGAACGATGCAGCGAGTAATCGTTGACTGAACTTTCCATTTTGTTGATGATAGGCCAGCCTTCAGCGAGGAGGCGCAGAAGATTTTGGCGCTGCGGAGACCTGACAAGGCGGCCACAACCGATGTAGTCGCCAGGCGACTCATTGCAGGCTGTCGGGACTTGCAATCCTTTGGCCTTGCCTTGCATGAGACATGTCAATGTTCTTCTTACCGAAGATCAATTGCACCTGGTAGGTGCCTTGGATGGGGATGTCAAGCTGACCAAAGAGCAGCTGCGTCAGATCCGAGTGAAGAAATCAAATACCAACAGCGTGTCCAACCGGAAAGTGCCACCTGCTCCGAAGATGCCAACGCTGGAGACAGACACTGAGTCTGGGTCCAGTTCCGATCAGATGTCTCAGGCGAGTGCAGCTATCTACCGACGGCACACATATTTGGATGGTACTTTGTCCTTTCCATGTCCAAGAAGCAAGATATTGCATAAACGGGTGGTACAGTCGCCCTACTTGAGAATCAAGAAGCAACAGCAGATTACGGTATTTTGCATTTTGCACATCCAGCTAGTCTTTGCGCTGTGCGTGTATGTGGTGAACCCTGTTCTCGGCGCAGCAAGCGGGGCAGGCAGTGCCAGCTGCAAAGCGGGCTGCAAAGCCTGCAGCTGCAGAGCCAGCGGCTGCAGAGCCGGCGCTGCCTGCGAAGAGACAGGGTGAGGGGCAACTCGGCATCAGTATTGAATTACTGTATATACTTTGTCCCCGTGATTAAACCAAAAAAACAACCCTTAGTGGCAATCTCTGAGCATAGCCCCAACACCAGTGTTTGAAGCTCTTGAACCTACAGATCCGTTTCGTTCCGATTTCCGGCATTCAGCTTGATGCCCAAGGCGAGCAGACACCAGGCCAAAGGCTGCCTTGGGCTCTATTTTCAAAAGGATTTTTGGGCCTGCCGTAAGTATATGTAAGTACGGCCCCGTAGGTAAAGATGAGAGTCGCATGTTGAGTGACTTCCGCAGCTCTGGCTTCAAAGCCCATGTGGGGGCACAACCCTGCTTGTACTTGCGGGGTGTGCCCTACAGTGCGGCGCTTGCACCGGGTGATCAACGAGGGCGCCCGGTTCAATCCCGGCCCGTTTCTTTCATACGCGACTGTGCGTGTGAGGAACGTGGTCGGTGAGCTAGAGTCGGCTGGATCACCATCGACGGGAGCTGCGTGGGCCCTTGGCACAGGCCCCAGCTCCTGGTGGTGGCGTGGTTGGAAGAACTCCTCGAGGCGGCGGAGAAGAAGTTCGAGAGGTTCCCCAAGGAGAGAAGGGAAGTGGCACAAGGTTGGCATCGCAGGGCACGTCAAGGGCATCAGAGGCATCAAGTAAAGGAGGTGATACGGAAGAGGACAAGGCAAGCCACACTACTAAGGCAAAGGTGAAGGTTGGAAGACCAGACGCTCATCCAGATGAACAAGGAGAAGGGGAGGTGGCAGTGAAGTCAGAGGTCGAAGAAAGTGAGGAGAAGAGAGAAGCTGAGTCCACTCCTGGCGTACGGGAGGTCTCAGATAGATCTCCTGGCCAGGAAGAGGAGGAGGAGGAGAAGAGAAGAGAGTCCCCAGAAAAGAAGAAGAGGAAGGCACAGGAGTCGAAGGCGTCGTTCAGGTTAAGAAGAGGCGCAGAAGAAGTAGATCGGCTTCGAGCACTCCAGTGGCTGGTCCGAGTCGCCCCGGATCAAGACATTCCCGTGAGGAGACTGCGAACGAGGAGGCTAGAAGGACATTGAGGCCTCGTTCACCTTCACGGTCTCCACCTCTCATTGGAAAGGACCGGTCCTTCAGCCGAGGAGGGATCGCCATCAGCTGCCACCAGCACCGCCACCTCCTCCACATCACAATTGGGAGTACGCCACAAACAAGGGGGATAAGAAGAAGGAGAGACAGCTCTTGCTGAAGGAGTTCAACGCAGAGAAGAGGGCGAGAAAGACTCGTGAGGGTGGTTGATGCCTCCTCGTCGTCTGGCCCGTCCTCCTCAACAGGGGAGCTTGGCCACCTGTTCGAAGAATCGCAGCGGACCCAGCTCGCAGCCCGGGCCGGTCGGGCGCGCTTTGCGCCCAGGCGATGAAGCGCATGGAGCGTCAAATGCTTACACACGTTGGAGAGGTCATGGAGGAGAAGACCGTGTTGAAGGCAGTGGGGCTCCGCTACTTCCGCCAGCGCCTACGGGAGAGGCTCTCTCCTGTGATGGCGAGGGAGATGTTGAACTTGGCCTCCATCCTGGACTGCCTCGTCACGGGGCAAATCGCCCTAGCTGCAGACACAACAGTGCAGAGGATGAAGGCTTTGGAGTCGATAGCGGCAGGAGCGGCCTATCATATAGCACAACGCATGGAGCTGGTCCGAAGCGAGTTCAGTCTCATGGCAAACCGAGGCGGTGGCAGCGGCTCGCGAGTCGAAGGAGGAGTTCAGGACCCGGACCATGCAGAAGGGGCATTGGGAGCAGACCACGTGGAAGGGCAGCCGAGGCGAGTCCACGGGGAAGTCAGAAGGCAAGAGCAAGAGCAAAGAGAAAGGAAGAGGCAAAGGGCAGAAGGGCGACGACAAGGACAAGACAAAGGGGGGACAAATGAAAGATCCGCTTCACCTCACAGAGAAAGAAGTGTCGGATGAGCTATGGAAGTGGATGCTTGAGCAGCAGTGCATTGATGCCAGTAGAAGTGATGCCACGAAAGAGTATGAGCAGGTCATCGGAGAACTCCTGGCCTTGACAGCAGACGTTGGTGGCTTGACGGAAGATGTTTCACGTACAGTGGTGTAGATGGAGGGTGCCAACTCCTCTGTACCGAACCAAGATCCGTCCGAAGAGGACGCTGAAAAAAGTGAGCGAGTGTAGATCCGCTGTGTTGTCGATTTGGTGGGGGGTTGGATCGATGGTTTGTCAACTTCGTTAAGCAAGGCCCAGTCCACTGGGGAGGTTCTGCCCCTCCCCATTGACTCACTGTTGAACCACCCTTCGTTCGAACGCGTCGGAGCCTCGACTCGTGTTGTTTGGAAAGGACTGATGTGTGGGTTGAACCATCTGTTTGGTTGCGTGGGTGAAACTACACAGAGGGCCACACCTGCGCAGATGAACGTTTGCGTGTTTTTGATCGACGAGGCGGAAGATTTTTTGAAGCGAGTGCCAGAATTGGGTCCGTTGAATTGGAAAGATTTTTTGAGGGTCAAGACAATCGATTATAAAGGTGAGGAGGTCAGGACGGCTCAAAGTACAACTTGGTCAAACCTCAAGAACGCGTTGCCAGACGAGGCAGCGAGGGTTCCGCTTGAGGAGGTCAAAGTTGTCAAGGTAAACACGAAACGAGGGATTGCTCCACGTGAAACTTCGGTCTTTCCGGCGTTCCGCCTCCCAACCTGCTCGTGCCCCACGCCTCACACATTCCTCCACCGCCTTGCCAACGATGTTCCTGTAGATGTGCTGGGCCAAGGCCACTGAGTTGCAGAACCGTATGGGCAACACTCGACTGCAGAGGTAGTGTCCGGTGCCAAGCCAGGAGGAACCTCCCGCCAAGAAACGATGCCAACTACCGACACAGAAAAAGGTAAAAGAAACACCTCGCATCTTCTTCGTCCCCCACCACAAAGGGGTGCATTGAAGGCCACGCGGGCAGGGTGCTCACGTCTCCACTCAGCGGGCGGCAGATGCGGTTGAGGATCAGATTCATGATCAGTCGGTGTACGGCAACCCCACCAACACACTCATCTTTGGGAACCCCAAAGAGCCCATTCAGCAGGGGCCTACCTCCGACCTGGTAGATGTCATCCTCCCTAATCATCCCACAGATAGGAGAAGGTGGACGCGGCAACAGCTCAGCAGCTACGAGGGAGTACCCCAACTCTCGTGGAAGCTCTCAGGTGCCCAGGCACCCTCGGAAGGCAGTCAGTAGAGCAGAGGTAGCTGAAGTCCAGGGGGCGCAGGTTGATGGCAGGAAAGGGTCGGCGACGCCCAAGGCAGAGAAGGTGGCGAAGTACCTTCAGCTCTGTGACCTGTTGTTGAGGGATGGGCGCAGTACGCAGAAGCAGATGCAGATCGTTGCTGGAGGCTTTGTCTACTTTACAACCTTTCGCAGGCCGCTCCTTGGCGCTTTGAACGCGGTCTGGCGGTTCATACAGAGCTTTGTGGATGGGCCCAGGGTCCAAGTCATCCCAGGTGTTGTCAGGGAGGAGTTGTGTCGGTTTTGCCTCTCGTCCCTTTGGCCCGCATGAACTTTCGCTTCAACCTTTGGAGGGGGGGTCACTGCAACGTCGGGGCTGACGCAGGTAGGTACCATTGCTGCCAACATGAGCGTGCGGGGTGACATCCTGGAACCAGAGGAGACCGCCGCTGTGTTGACCGTGGGGCTTTTTGATGGCATTGGAGGCTGCAGCTGCCTTGGGTGGAGACGCCGCCCGGGCCCGCTTCACTGGCCGTGAAGGACTGGTGAACGAAAAGGTAGAAACTGTAGTCCCCGGCCCCTGAGGGGGCCCAGTATCCGGGCGGACTGCCGCGGAAGGGGGCTTCCGCCGGAGCGCTGCAGTGATGCGACGACCAGTAGCCTGAATGACCTGAACTTGGGCCGGAAGTAGGGGATGGAGTCCGCCGCCAACAACTCGTCGGTGTCGCCCATGCAGGTCTCCCAGCGCGCCTGTGCATAGCCTACGGGCAACTCATCCCACAGTGCCATATGGAGGTCCTGAAAGAAGTGCAATCCAGCCAGGCGTAACTGGTGCCCCAGCCGCTGCTTCTGAGAGTCATACTGCAGCGGGGTGGTCGCCGTGGTCTTGGAAGACTGGTCAGTCCATTGACCAAGAGCGAGTCGTTCGGTCTCGGACAGCCCAACATAGCCTGCCAGCGTTGGAAGGACTCTGCGAAATGAGTACGAGGACAAACTTGTGACATCCATGGCAGCGCTCAAGTGTGGGCGCAAAATACGGATGAACTGGGCCGTCCCCACAGGTTGGGCAGTGGCAGAATCAAAGCCCAACCAGTGCCATCGCCGGAATGCAGCTCCAGAGTGGGGCCGCACCTTGTTGAGGTGGTTGCCCAACACCTGCAACAGATCCAAAGTGCCGCAATAGCGTGGCACGCTCCATGCAAAGCCGCCGCGGCTCCCAGTCTTGCCTTTCGCGCGCCAAAAGACCAGGATGCCCCCATTGCCCCCCACCAAATAACTACGTTGGAGGTGCGTGTACCGGACGACCCCGAAGCACATAGCATAGGCGCAGAAAAGCAAAGGCCAGTGGGGATTAGCGACCGTCAGCTCCAGCGTGCAACACCATAGACGGCTCCAGTGTAGCAGCTTGGGCCTGCCCCTGACCGAGGCGTGCGCCTAGTCCAGCCCGAGGCTTGGTGACCTCCGACATGTTGAACGGCAGGCGCAAGTTACGGACCAACCATCCCAGCGCGGTAAAGGCCCGAGTAGGTGCAGCATGCTGCCGAACAAAGGTGGCCAGCAGGTGCTTGTCCGGCTGTGCAACTCCAGCGGATGCGAGTACCCCCTGCAACTCCTGCCAGCTTCACCGTGGCGGCCTCCGCCCGTTGCAGCACGCCCTTGAGCCTTGCCTCGAAGTTGGCTGTGAACGCCGCGAAGCGCTCAGCAGGCGGGGGCAAGAAGGACATGGCGCCGCCAACAGGGCCACCCGACAGGTGGCCCTGGGCGCTGGGCCTGACGGGCCCGGCAAAAGATGGAGTAGGC